GTTTGGTTTATTGAAAGGTTTTTATCCGTCCCCTGTTAAAATTGGGTTTGGCTGTCATTTAAGCAGAGATTCTGATATATCTGCAGTGTTGGGACAATAAATCTGATATTCGCAGCGACGGCAGTGCTGCTGAAGCTCCTCGACAATGTTAGTAGCACCAAGAACAGTAGTGAGAAGTTCTGCATTCATTCTTTGCCTATTTTGTGTGTCAGCTGTAATGGTTGTTAGACGACAGAGCAGGAGCGGAGAAGGCTGGACCTGTTTGAATCCATAGCCAAACTCTTTCGGCCTTTTTAATTTTCCAGACTTTCAAGGACTCACACCAGATAGATTGGATCCTTCAAGGTTGCGGCCTTTAAAGTTTAACCCATTTAACTTTGCTTGAAATTGCAAACAAAATGTTGGCATTGGCATTGGTGGAGCTAGAGTAGGTGTGTGCGCCACCTGCTGGCCTGGAGGAGTAAAACTTGTGTCCATCTTTAACTACGCAAATGTCTAATTTTCATCCAACTTTAGAACTAAGCTCCACTCTGTGTTGATCTTTAACATGTTAATCTACAAAAATCTATTAGTTTAAATACTGTGATGATGTGTGCTCAATTAAAAACATATGTGGTATGAATGTCTATGCAAGTTGTTACAGTCTCTGAAAACAGTAATTTGTTTAATGATAATACAGGAGACACAATAATATAACGAATAAATAAACTTACTTTAAACTGAGAGTTGAAATGCCCAAAGACAAGCCAGAGGCAAACTTGATGAAGAACACATAGAAAGAATAGAAGAGCGCTTCATGACCGTGGATGTCTGGATTTTGAACTTTGAAGTCATCCACAACATCTGGAAGCATTGACCTGAAAGACAAACAACAGTTAACTCCTGACAAAACAGACAAAACAAGGAAAAGTTGCAGCGGATATTCTGGCTTCTCACCAAGGTAGGAGGAATGCTGCCGCCACGCTCACACCCGCCCCCACCGAGACCAGATAGGAAATGATCAGATGGCTCTGGACGGAGACTATCAGGATCATGAAGGGTACCGCCCACTGGAGGAACAGATAGAAATAAGTTATTATCCTGAGGAGGGGATTTTATTTCACAGATGAAAAAATAAAATACAGACCAAGATGCCGCAGTAAGTCGCCGTCTTCTTCCCAAACCGAGTCAGGAACCACTGCCACCACGGGATTGTTAAAGTTCCTGACAGCTAAAGAAATATGGTAAACACATAATGCTCAGTATGTGCCATCATCAAACAACTGCAATAACGGCAAAGATAGATTTGTAAGGATCCAATCCCAGAGACGCAGAAGCACCAAGTTCAATTTTTTTTCAAACATACTTTGCTACATTAATTAGATAAATAAAATATAAAATTACAGCCACTGCGTAGATAAAGCAAACAATTATAGAGAGCCTTTTTAAAAAATTTTGTAATTATTTTTAGTTTTTAAATGTGTTTATTTTATTATTTCTTTATCTATTTAATTTTTATATATAGTAATAATCTTATTTTTTTATATATTTATTTAATAAATTAAAAAATAATATTAAAATTAAAAACTAATAATAAAAAAGAAAATAGAGGAGAGAATTAAGAACATACACTTCTGACAAAAGATTTTAAAGATCACTTCAAATCTGTAGACTTTTAGTAATTGGACTGTAATAAGAGAAAAGGTGGTCATCATTAGAAAGCCTAGACAAGTTCAAAAAGTTATATGAAGGCTTGGATGTAAATTGTGAAAAAAGTTTTTTAAAGTTGAGTAGAAAAGATAAACCTAATAGACTCCTTAGTCAACTTGTAAAAACAAACATTTTTAGAATCTGGTGAACAATTGGAAAAATTTAATAAATCAATGGATGCAAAACGTTTTCAGGTTAAAAATGAGCTTTTATAGTGCCAATTGTCTCCAACTACTGAAGTTAAATAAAATAATCACACTTTAGACACATTTCTAATGGTAACGTGAAATATTCAGAACATCCGGTCATTAGACACTTTAGACAATGTGATCTTCATTTCAGCCTCCTCAGTTTTCCTTTCTAATCTAAAACTGTGCCCAGATTTATTTTTTAAACAATCCACTTAGGTTAAGAAATAAACAGGCTTAAGAATATGTCTACTTTTTATTTTATGGAGAAACACAAAAGGGCAGCTGACATCTCTGCAGACCCCACACATTCTGGACAAACTGTTCTATTTCATCCCTACTGACCGCCAGAGGCGGTGCTTCAAGCACTGAATGATCATTCATGCGCATGCGCAGGTCGAGTATTAATGACAACAAAGTCAGCTGTGACCTGCCGGGGACCCACGTGACTCTATATAGTCACGTGGCACCCGGCAATCAATCCCTTTTGTTCTTCTCGCGCGCAGGTGTGTTGAGTACAGGAGTGTGGTCGTGTGAAGCTGCTTGCTTCTGTGTATACCACTAGTTTCCTGGCTGCTTGTTGCTGGTAGCCCCGTGACCGGGTTTGGTCGGAGCTGCGGGTAAGTCTCGCCCTCCAGGGGCTGCACAAGCTGCTTTCACCTTACCAGATCTGCGGTGACTGGTCAGTTTTCGTTCTTTTCTCAGCAGTAGTTTACTGTTCGCTTTAATTTGCCATGTTAATTTTGTGGCTCTTTGGTCTCACG